TGGCATTCGTAACACATGCCCAAGCCATCGCAGCTTGTGTAAGTTTTTAACCAAACAATTAGGAGGTCACTTACAACAGGTTCATTCAGATGAAGAACGCAGCGGTATCAGAACTCCTCCGATTCAGTTACTTATGATTTCGAAATTTCTCGAATTCACGCAATGGAAAACGCGTTCCCCGATGTTCAGCTTCGTGTTTGTTTTTACCATCTGAATTACAATATGAAAAATCATTTAGATGAACAGTATTTACTTGTTTATAACGCCAACACTGATTTTGCTTGGTAACAGCGTTGGCGTTTTATACACGTTGCTGAACAAACTGGCAAAAGAACTTCTCAACTAGCCTCAGTCGCTTCTTGAATTGTTCGAAGATGACTACGTTGGTCGTTTGAATCCTAGACGCAGTAAAAGACGTCCGATCTTGTTTCCATCGTAAATGTGGTCGGTATATTGTAGTGTTGTTCGCAGTGAAGACCGCAAGAATTACCATGCAGAGGTAGTCTTTCGGCGAATTGAAACTGAATTGGGGATTTCACACACGTCGGTATGGAATTTAATTCATTGACTCTGTAAAGTGTAGAAGATCAGCGAAATATACTACGAACAATTTTTTGCCGGTCATAAGCCACTTGTCAAGTCGAAGAAATATTCAGACGCGGATGAAAGAATAAAGTTCATTGTGAATCACTGTTATAATAGGAATGTTATTACTTATGTCAGTGGGTTAGTACGTAACTATCAGATAATTTAGTGATATTATATTTTAGTACAATATAAACTGTTTCTTATCGAAGAAAATTAGTTTTTGTTTTTTTTATTTCATCTTTCGATTTCGATTTAAATTCGGTAAATAAAATTCTATGAAACGAACTGACAGTGCTATCATCTGTTTCTAGTTAACAGTTTGATATCATACAATGATTGATACTCAATAGAAATGTGTGAAAAGCATAGAGAAATTGTCTTCATTAAAGCCATATATAAATTTAGTATTGTAGCAGAACTTCCGTATTTCCCTCAGAAAAGGATTTAGATGTGCAACATGAGGAAATGACTATTGTCACAGAATCAAAAACCTGGAGAAGTATTTAAACAGAGGTAGGCTTCTGAAATTCTAACGAAGATGCCAACTGTGAAATTGACAGTTATGATGAAAGTTTCGTATTCTGCTCACAAAGAGCTTTCGAACGATGTATA